CCTGGGGTGCCTCTGTGAGAAGCTGCAGGGCTGTGTGAGGGCCAGGGGGCCCTGGGGTGCCTCTGTGAGACGCTGCAGGGCCAGGGGGCCAGAGGACAAGGTGAACAGCGGGAGCCGTGAGGTGCGGGGAGGAGCTCCAGTCGGCCTGTCAGAAAGTCGCTGGCCCTGGGAGCAGCACTAGTCTAGTCCGTGAGCCTGTGTGGTCTGCCCATGGTTGAGTACTTCATTTTCCTGTCTTCTTCGTTCCTGCTGGGGGATTCAAGCTGGAGCTCATTTTCAGCACTCTTAACCTATTTGGACATTAAACACGCAAGGGTGATTTTTCCCTCTTTAGTTAATATATTTATATCAGAAACGTAATTTAAGTTTTAAAACTTAATTTAATTAAAAAGTTCTAAAACGTCATTTAACTTAATTTAAGGCGTTTTTAAATTTGTGACTTTGATCTGTGCTTTGATCTCAGAATTCATGGGGTTCGAAATACATTTTCAGATTATCATAGATATTTTAGAATATCAGATTTTCTGTTTTGATGCAGCACTATAAAATATTTAAGGTTGTTTTGCTTTTTGTTTAAATCAGCAAATGTCTTTGAAAATGTTACTTCTTTGACATTTCGTGACATTTCGTTCTCTCTTGACAAAGCTTTCACTGCAAGATAATTTTTTAAAGAAATAAAAAAAAGTCTTCAGTCCAAGCCTTTCAGTTTTGGGAGGGAAAACATCATTCATTTCGAAGTCTCCCACCGAGACCGCAGTCTGCAGTCTAGTGCAGTCAGCGCTCTGTAGTTTGGGTGGGTACTGTAGGTGGATGTTTTGTGATCGCTGATCGGAACAGCTTCAGGAGGGGCGACCCCAAGCAAGGCCTCTCTCGCCTTCCCCATGATGTCACTTCCTGGAAAGGCACAGCGCCCCCCCCTCCACACACACACCCTTCCCCCCTCACACCCTGGCTGAGTGGTTAAGGTGCTAGAGTTGAAATCCAGTGGGGTTTTCCTGCGTGGGTTCAAGCCCTGCTCACAGCACTGCTGCTCCTGGGACTCCTCAGGATTTGTGAAAACTGATGCAGGTTCAGACAAACTTCTTTCTAACTTAAATAACTTTATAATAAACACCCCCGAACTCATTTCTGATCGGACATGGTTATTCCCTGAGAAATAGCATGACTCCGTATAATAGTTCATATTGTAGCAGATTAAACAGATGATTCTGTTTCTTTCTGAATCAGTCTCAGGCTGTGACAGTGAGGAATGAATGAATGTTAAATTTTTCCTAAAAGCAACGCGTGTGAAATCCCAGTTTTGAGAAGTTCCCCTCCCCTGTGAGGCTGGATCTCTCCCGTCCTGGGGGAGGTCTCGGCGCTGGCGCGTGTCCGCAGACGGGGCACGCCGGCTCACGCCTGCGCTCTGTGATGTGAGCAGGACAGCTGGGAGATCGTGGAGGGGCTGCGGGGCAGCGGGAGCAACATCCAGGAGCCTGAGAAGCAGGAGGGCTTCATGCTGAAGAGGAGGAAGTGGCCCATGAAAGGCTGGCATAAGGTACGTGCCTCCCATCCCAGCTCCATATAGGGGCTCCCACCCCAGCTCCTCACAGTGCCTCCCATCCCAGCTCCATATAGTG